ATTCAGTTATGCAAATTATTTGATAATAATTTGATATTTTTAAAAATTTATGAAATATCTTATTTAAAATATTAATTGCTTTCATTAAAACCAAAATATTTGAATAACTTTGTTCAAATTAAGTAGTTAGGTTTTTTTTTTTTTTTGCATTGAATTGTTTCAGGAATTGAATTTGTTCACACAAAAATGACAATCAGAATGAAATGTTAATGTTAGGTGAGTAATATATTTTATTAGTAACAATATTATTAATGTTAGATAATTTCACACATCAAATAAAACAATATTAGATAAGATTAATTAATTCTGAAATTTTATTCATACTATTGGAATATACTATTTGGTCATTTGTTTCCTGAAAATCGGATGTCTGTCTCTTCCGGATTGCTAATATATGCATATGATTTATTATTCTGCTTATATCCACTGTTGATGATTAAGCTTTTTGTATTGTTCAGTTTCACTTACGTAGAATGAATCTATTCACATTTCAAAAATTTTGACAACTCTAAAAAAATTTCGACAACATTTCAAAAATTTTGACAATTTTTTTACGAATTCCAACTCTTAAAGGCGCACTTTTCACTTATAGTTTAAAAATTATCCAAATTTACTATTTCATAATGCATTTGAAAAATTTTTGAATTAAATTATTATCAAATAGAATTATTGATTGAATGAAGGTGTGAAGAAATTATTGCTAAGTTATTATTATAATCATAACAACTATCATTTATTGTGTAAAGATTTGTTGAGAAAAGTATGTGACAATTTGTCTATGGGACATTCGACCATATCATAAAATGAACAGTTAAATAGAATGAGGTCATTTCCTCTTTTATATTTAAGCACTTAAAAGAACGATTACTGATGAAGAACTAAACTGATTTATCCCTTTAATTACCCACCCATTCTAATCTTATACTAAGAATGTATTCATAGCTATGTAAAGCTTTCAGATATAATTATTTATGTTTATTTCAAAAATTTCTGAATTAATTCATTTTCATAATTTTAATTAAAAAATTTTTGCTGGAAAAAATAATGATTAACTTATCATTCTTTATTATTTTGCAATAAAAATTGCTAGAAAAGATAGATTTTGAAAATAATCCAGAAATTTTATTTGTTAATGAAAATTAAATTTATTATTTTTTAGGAATGCGTAAGTTTAATTAATTCCAAATCTTTTTTATATTTGTTATTTTTTTTTTACTCACAACTTTTAACATTAATTTTATTATTTCCTCAAAAAAAAAAGAACACATTTCAATTGTCTCGTGCTAAAATTCAGAAATTCAAATTGAAACATTGAATGATTTCAGTATGAATTAAATTTAAAAGAAGAATATATAATATATAATAATAATAAGAGTAATACTTGAAAAAAAAAAAAAGAAGACTATAAATGAGAAATTTGAATATAAATTTAAATTCAAACTAAACTAAACTAAATTAATATCACTGATAAGAAAATCTGTCAGATCTTTTCTTTCAATTTTCAAAACTTCAATTTTTCATTGAGGCTTCCCTTTCCTTCTTTCCTCATTGTCCTCTGGGATCGATGTATTTCAGCGAGAAGAAAGGGCCTTTTTAATATAATTCAAAGATTGAACTGCCACTAAGAACACCCCACCTATACATACATACACATACACATACACACACACACACACACACACACACACACACACACACACACACACACACACACACACACACACACACACACACACACACACACACACACACACACACACACACACACACACACACACACACACACACACACACACACACACACACACACATCCATGTGTAGCATATGAATGTTGGTACCATTCTGTACCTTATAAGATGCAATCAGCGAAGTAATTATGTATGTTGTCTGTTTGCCGGTCTGTTTCTGTCTGTCCATCTGTTCGTCTGTTAATTTCTATTTATCCATGCTTTTTTACTAGTGAAAGAGAAGAGAAAAAAAAAAAAAGAAATGAAAACGAAAAGTTCATACTTATCAGTGAACTCGAAGGACACTTTAGGGTCATCCATTTAGTTATTTGAAAACGTTGCTAATAACTTCCAGCAGATTATTATTACTCTTTCTTTCTTTCTTTGTAATATGACAAATTTTTATAATTGCAATAAATATTGTTAATAACTGTTTTCTTTTTTTAATTAATTGATTAATTGAATGTAGTGATAAGTGTGATTAATTATTATTATCAATAAATTGATAAGGAATATAAATAATTTGTATATTATATATATGTGTGTTTGAATTAGTTTGATAACATATTAATAAATTCGAATTCAGTAATCAAAATGGCAAATTTACAAGAAAAAATGATAAAGGAGAAAGAGTTTTTAGATAATCGATTACTACTGTAAAGCTGTATAAAGTTAAATGTTAAAGTAATGTAATTAGAAGAAGTAATTGCATACTATTTTGTAAAATTTTTACGTTCGAAAATGTAATCAAAAAGTTTAAATTGGAAATGCATTATTTGATTACCGGAAATTATTTAAATGTAATTGAGAAAATTTATAACTATTTTTTCAAGTGCTGCATTTTCTCACTTATTTATTTTGAAAAGAAAAAAAAAAAAAAAAGGAAAGAAAGAAGAGAGAAAGTAAAATGGAAAAGATAGCCCAATTTTCTTTCTTACTCTGATTCATGTAATAATAAATATCTCTGGATGAGGTGATGATGAGACATTAAAAGAGGTCAGCCCGCCAAAGAGGTCAACTGATCACTACATAATATCTCAGTAGACTTACAGTTGAATAAATCATCTTTAGCTTTACTTTTTTTAACTTCTTTATTCTTTTAAAAGAGTTATTGTTATAAAAATTACTTATGCATTGAATGGTGTTGGAATAAATCTTTTTTCTTTTGAAAAATTAAAGTTTTAAATTTTTGCGTCATAAAATTTTTTGATTATCATAGCAAATGTAAATTAGGTAATCATATACCAAACAATTTTTTTAAATATTGCAAGAAATAATAGAATGATTTTCTTGCAATAATAAATGATACTTTTGTAAAAATAAATTGAGTTTTAAAAGAATAAATAATTAGTACTTTTTAATGAAGTAAATTAATTTAATTTAAATTAAAAATTTAGATATCGCTAAGTGAACACTTACTACATAAAAGTGATAATTGAAAACTTCATTGTTTCTTGTTTCTCATTAAAAATTTATTGATCTAAATTTGTTTATTCACTTTTTTTTTAATTCTATCAAAGATTTTATTTCTTTGAATGGCATTTGTTTGTTTTGTTTGTTTATTTATTTGTTGTCTTTTTTTTTCTTTGAATTAAACAAACAAAGTTTGACTTTACATCAATATGTTTTATCGTTTGAAGAATGGATTATGCTTTAATTTCAACTCATTTTGATTGAATTTGAAAGAAAAATTTTTTTCGAACTATTTACAAATAACCTTTTTGTATTACAAATAAAATTAATTTGTAGAATGGATGAACAATGCAATTTGAATATTTCACTAAAATGATTTTCTCTGTTAATATTTTTATGAGATTGGTTTTATAATTTGGAAATAAAAATGATAGTTGAGAATAATTTTCAGATATAATTTCTAGTGATTATTTATAAAATAAATTAAGATGGACTAATTTTTTGGAAAAAATAAGTAAATGAAATTAAATGGATTTTCTTTTTTCTCTTATTACAGTAGTAGAAAATATGCTATAATGCTAAAAATGGTTATAAATGCAATTGTCAACTGTTAGGTGACAGCTGTATAAATTTGTTCATTTTCCATTCCAATATTTGTGATATTGCTTATCATATTTGATTATTCTAATTATTGATAAGTGATTGAAGTCAATCATTTGTCTAATATAAACATAAAAACATAAATCAGATGAATAATTATTATTTCGTTTTTTTTTTTTTTTCGACTTACTCAAAAGTTATTCATTTTCAATTACAAATATTCAAAATATGAGTGTTTATTTTTAATTAGTATAAAAAATAGGAAAATGTGAAAATGGGTAAAAACGAATAAATTGTTTCTTTATCACTTTTATCACTTTAATTAATATTTTTTGAAATGCAAATGACAAATTAATCTTAAAGTAATTTTTAGTCTGAGTTACCTTCCTAGTCATCTTTCTTCATTATCTCAATTTTATCTTTCTTTTTTATCCATAATCTTAAGTTTTACTTTCTTCCTCATTCATGCAAATCTTTTATTTTGAAATTTTACTTAAATATTTCATACCTTTTTTTCGTCTCACTTTTACAATGCTCCTTTTATTTATACCTTTACGCTTTTTTGTTTTCTCATTTTAAAATTGATTTGTATGAAATTATTCATTTTGTTTGCACTTATTGTTATTATTAGTTATGGGCACTTTTCATAAAAATGTTTAAGTAATACTTTCTAAAATTATTTTTTTTCTTTTTATAAATTCTGCAAATTATTCTCGTTATTTTCTATTATAATTTTAATAAGAATACACAGTTTAGATTTAGGTTTACTTCCGGTAATCCTATAAAATAGATGTATATCAGACAAATTATTATTATTCCGTTTTTTTTTTTTTGGATTTTCTTAATAATATTTCATACTTTCCTCTTTCGTAATCCGATTTTAATTAACCCATTTTAATAATTAATCCATCATTTTCATCAAATTCTTATCCCAAATTCTACTCTTTCTTCCTATCTCAAAATTTCTCGATTATTCTCATTTTTATATCCTAAAAAATATTACAATTAATTTAAGTGAAATTAAACTTTATTCACATGGAAAAAAAATTTTAATTGATAATCTTTGAAAATATCACAAAATTATTTTACGATCATTTACAGATATGAAATTATTAAATAGGAATTTAAAATATAATTTCTTCTCTTTTTTGTTTTTTTCTCTTTCTCTCCCTCTCTCTCTCTCTCTCTCCGTTTCTGTTCCATACCTTTTGAAAATTGACGAATTCAATATATTAATGGTATAAAGTAGTGAAATTTGCATGATTACAGGAAGTAGTTCATCGTCAGGTTGCTCATCAGCAACTGCAACAAACGATCACTGTAGTGAGTCATTAGCAGTGACATCGTCATCATCAGCTGCGTCATCAGTGTCGTCATCCTTCTGCTCGGGAGTTACTCAAGAAGGGTCACTGAAGTGTGATCAAGCTAACAGTCGAGCTACTGCTACTTCTCTCTTCAATTCATTAGCTAATCATCAAACTATCAAATATACCAAAAATACTTCAATTATTGCAGGTTTTTATTAAATTAATATTTTAGCAACTTTCTTTTTTTCCCCTCTCTCTCTCTGTCTCTCTCTCTCCCTCTTTTTAAATGTAAAAATTTTTATCAGCAAAAATTATCAGTGAACAAAATTTGAACGATATTATGATAGGATAAATGTTTTAATTTTTGTCAAAAAGATTATATTAGATAAACAAAAGAATTGATTTGCTAGAATTTTATGACAAAAGTATCGAATATTTAAACTTAAACACAATTATATGTATTAATCACAATCAAAAAATAAGAAATAACATAGTAGCAAATAAATGAATATTAGAAAATTTCATAAACATAATTTTTTTTTTATGTTTAATTTTTCCCATACTATCAAATCAAAAAAACGAAATAGTAATGTGCTAAATGATAAGTGTAAAAACTTGAAAAATAAAAGTTTTTTTTTTTTTTAAATTTAATTTATTTCTAACATATATATTGCAACTTTTCAATTTTGAACAAAAAAAATTTTAAATTAGTTTGTAGGAGTGCTAGAAGAGATGGCATTAGTGTCACATCATGCAGGGACAGGTAGTATTGTTGCTGGGCCAGCATCAATATATGCTGGGCCAGGTGCTAAGGAATCTAGGCATAATGCTACCACACTTAATGGTAAAAGTGTTACGGCAAAATTATTGCAAAATTCTTATCACAATGGACATTTATCACAGGTTATCATTTTTTTTTTTTTTTTGATAAGAAATCTTTCATTATGACTTATTGATTTGTTCTATGAAATTAAAAATTTAAATGATCAAAACTTTCTTTTTTGTAAGTTTTTCAGAAAAAAGGTTGAATAACTGATAAAAATGATAATTGCAAGGTTGAATAACTGATAAAAATGATAATTGTTAGGTTGAATAATTGAGCTTTTCTTTTTTTTTTCTGAAATTTCCTCAATTTCATCCATATCATTGCTTAAAAAAAAAATCGAAAGACTGAAGAAGAAAAAAAGTGCATTTCACTTTTTTTTCATTTTTCCTTTTTTTTATTTCCATTGAAAATAAAAAGAACAAAAAAAAAAAGAAAATCTTATAAGCTTTTCTTTATAATCGCTATGAACAATTCGATTTATCATTAGCTAAAATTTCAGCTATCTTTTTTTTTTTGAAATTTTTATCATTTTTGTTGTCAATTTTTTCATGAAATGAAGAAAATGAGAAGAATAATATTTTGAATTTGCAAATAAAATTTTAATTTAGTAAATAGAAGCAATTGATTTTCAAATATTTAGCGTACTTTTTTCCTGATTGAAATAATTATGGAAAATTTCATGATCGAATTAATATTTTTGCAAAATTAATTAATTTCATTTGTATGATAGAGCAAAACAATTTTTGGTTCTTTATTACTTCAAAATTTGATTCTGTTCTATTTATGCTTAAATTAGATGGAAAAATTTCAAAAATTTTACAACTATTTCCAACTTATGCAATCTTATGTTGCATCCTAAGTGGGAATTTCTTAGATTTCTTAATTTTTCAACATTTTTTAAAATTTAATTTCTCAGAGGTCATTTAATTATTAATGTCTTATGCCTATTACTTACTATTTTATTTTGTTTTCTTCTTTCTTCTCATTAATTAATTACTTTATTCATTTGTTTATTTTACTAATGTCTCACGGAGGAGCAAAGTTAATAATTGAGGCGGAAAAAAGTAGAATTACTTTTAATGATTAACAGTTAATTTGGGATTTTAATTCATATCTATAATTGAGCAGCTTAAATTTCATTAAAATCAAAATATTATATTGCATAATTGTCATCGAGACACACTGTAAGTTTACCTTTACCTAAAATCAAAGGTAAATATATGCACACATCATGTTATTAGATTATTTTTTTTTTAATTTTATAAAGTTATTTGGAATATTTCTGATTAAATTTACAAATAATTTTTGGTTCAAATTATTTAACAAAAAACTTTTATTTACTTTTTTCATATATATTATTTCTCAAGATTCTTTGTTCATTAAGAATTACAAAATTAAATTTTATAAATAATATATGTGAAAAATTTCCTAAAGTTTATTCACATTTTATTTTTTTTTCTTCGAAAGAAAAATATTTGTTAAGATTTTTTTTTAATTTAAAATTTTATTATTAAATTAAAATGAAATTTCAGTTTTAAATGTTAATAGTAAATTTTTAGCCGTCAGTAGCACATTCAAGTCAAGCAATCCTAACAGCTGTTCAACCATTTTACCGTCCACCAACTATGGAACAACATGATACACAACCGGATCGCCCAATCGGTTATGGCGCTTTTGGTGTTGTTTGGTTCGAAATTTTAACTTTTTCATTCTTTTTAAAAAATAAGTTTAATGCGTAGAAATTAGACTTATTTTAATTTTTTTTTTTTTAAATTTGTTAATTAAATCTCTCTTTTCTCTTTTTTTTTCTCGTTTATTTGTCAAATTATTAATTGTGAATTCTAAATTAATACTTCAAAATTTTCATATAATCATTGGTTTTATTAAAATAAATAAATAAGATGTAATGATATCGTAAGTCTCTTTTATATATTAATTAATTAGGATAAATGTTTTTGTATTTAATTGCTATATTTTAAAATTTAAATATTTTTGTTTAAAGGTCAGTAACAGATCCACGTAGTGGTAAACGTGTAGCACTGAAAAAAATGCCAAATGTCTTCCAGAATCTTGCGTCATGTAAACGTGTCTTTAGAGAAATCCGTATGCTATCCAGTTTTAGACATGATAATGTAAGTTAATCTTTCTTTAAATCTATAATTAATAAATTTTAACTGACTGTTAGAAATGAATTTTAAAAATGGAACTATTATTTCTTTATAGTCTCGCGCAAATGATTTTTCCGTTTCCGTTAAGATCAAAGAAGAAATTTTGAATAATTTAAAATGAATTAGTGCTTGGATTATTTTTTGAGATATCGAATTCTGTGTTAATATTAATCGTTGTAATATTTAATTAATTAGCTACACAAATTAAAAAAAGGATAAAAAATAATAATTATCAAATGTAAATTTTTTTGCAGAAATTGTGATAAATGAAATCTGAAAAGAAAAAAAAAATGAATGGGAAAATATCAAAAAATAAACAAACAAACAAACAAACAAAGTGAAATATACATAAATAATCTTTCGTCAAATAATATAAGAATAGAAGTGAAATAAAATTTGAAACAATGCAATGATTATTAGATACCATTATTGAAATATATTTTAAATCGATGACAATTTCAATTATTCTTCGTTTTTTCTTTCTTTCTTTCTTTCTTTTTGATCATTTTTAATGACGTCAAATGTGATTTATTCAGACATACATAATTAAACATAGACCCAATTCCAGACTGACCATCAAATTTAAAACTGGTTTTCCTTTTTTCCTTTTCAAATTTCTCTTCATTTTTCTCTCATTTTGATATTTTAAGAAGAAAGGATCAAATATACAATAAAATAATGTGAAAAGAGGAATGGAAAGTTAGTGACAGGTTTATAAAACTTGAAAATTAACATCAAAAAAAAAAAAAATGACAAATATTTATTTATTGACTTTATACTATATCAAACAATGTGCAAAAAAAAAAAAAAAAAAAAAAAAGGAAATGAAAAAAGAAATGAATGCAATGAAAAATGCAAATAAAAAAAAAAAAAATAAAATATACACATAATTAATTAATTCGTAATATATAAAATAAGTTATAATTAAGCATATAAAATATATAAATAATTAACTGAATTAATTAACCAACGATCATGTCATCTTTAATTTAATTTAAATTTATTTTAAACTTTTTATTGTTGAAACAAAAAATTTTTAAACGAACTTGGTAGATATCCTAAGATTAAAAATTTATGCTAAATATATCTATGTTTAAATATATGTTCAACATTTGTCTCTCTTATAAGTATTCCCGGTGAAAAATCCCATTACAGCTGCTTCCCCGGTATTTTAATTGTAATATTCTTTGATCTCTTTTTTTTCTTTTTTAATTTTTATCTTATGAAACCATCTGCTATATAAATTTGAACAATAAAAGCATTATTTGAAAATTAAAAAAACAAAATGTGAAAAGAGCTGCAAGATAAAAAGTAAATTATTCTTAACCAATTATTTCTTTTTTTTACTAATTACTAGTTTTGAAGTTTTTAATCACATTTATTGCTATTATTATGATTATAATAGTAACAATTGCAATTGTTTCTTTCAGAATTAGTTCTTATTTTTAAATTAATTATTAATTACTTTAAATTTGAGTTATATTTAGATAATTTCTCCTTCTTTTTTTTTATCATTAAAATATTTGACAAATTCAAGGTATTATGTATGATCGATGTTATACAACCGCAGAATCCTCATTTTTTTCAAGAACTGTAAGTTCTTTTTTCTAAATTCTAATTATTGTAGCAGTAGAATAATAATAATAATAATAAATATGAATGATATGATAGTAAATATAGATGAAAATATTGGAAACGATAGAAAAAGTTAAAATATTTTAAAAAAAACAAAAAAAACAAAAATATTATCAAATTCATTGCTGTATTATCCTTTGAAGTTCATTGTTCCATTTTTTGCTGAAAATGAAATTTATTTCTCATTTTTTTTTTCCTTTTTCAGCTATGTTTTAACAGAATTGATGCAAAGTGATCTGCACAAAATTATTGTCTCACCACAACCACTTACCACTGATCATGTAAAAATATTCGTTTATCAAATTTTAAGAGGTTAATTTTAACTTTAATAAATTTATCTCGAGAATCAGTTTTGATATTTAAAGAATATTGAAAAAAATTTTGGGAATGAGAATGAAAGTATGTTTGAAAATTTTAATATTTGAAAAAATTTGATACTTTGGCATAAATTTATCCTATTTGAAATTAGAAATTTTAAGATTTGTATAAAGTGATTTTACAGTAAATAATTCTGAAATAGCATAGTTAGCTGAAAAAAATTTCATATTTAATAAAAATTTTTTAGAATTCGTTTAGGAAACAAGCATCGTTGATAATTCAAATAGGTGTAAATATATTAAGAGGATGTTATTGTATATAAAACATATTTTGCCATTTAAAATTAATACTTTTAAATTTCATTTAATATTTTTAGGATTGAAATATCTACATTCAGCTAATATTTTACACCGTGATATTAAACCAGGCAATTTGCTAGTGAATAGTAATTGCATTTTGAAGGTAATTTTATTTATTTTGTACTTAGTAAATTATAAAAAGTCGTTCGAAGAGTATTGTAGAAGAATAGAATATATTGATAATAGAATATGAAATAAGTAATGAATATAATATTTTTCTTAATTAAAAAATCAATAATGATCATTGGATGATCATCCATCATATATTCATCTATAATAAATACACACACATATAATTTGGTGAAGAATAATTATTTGAAATGATTAATCATAATATAAGTAGATACTTAGTAGGATTAAAGTTATTAAAATTGATAATATTTAATTAATTTAGTTTAATTATTTTTTCAATAATTGAAATATTCCTTTTTTTAGATTTGTGATTTTGGTTTAGCAAGGATGTGGGATCCACATGAACAATCAGCTATGACTCATGAAGTAAGTTTTAAATTGTAAGTATGAAGATGGATGCTACTTTTTTTTTTTTTGTTTATCTTTGAACTTCAAATATTTCATTTAAATTTTTTCTTTTCTAAAAAAAATTACAATTATACTATTTTTTTAATTTTGTTTTTTGAAAAAAAAAAAGTAAAATCGATTGATCAATCAATAAAGTTTTAATTTATAGGTTGTAACGCAGTATTATCGTTCACCAGAATTATTAATGGGTGCGCGGACATATACGGGCGCTGTTGACGTATGGTCAGTGGGTTGTATATTCGCTGAATTATTAGGAAGACGAATACTTTTCCAAGCACATGGACCTGTTGAACAGGTTTTGATTATATTATCAAAATAAATTCTTTTTTTATTAATCTTAATTGATCAGAAAAAAAAATTGTTCTATTTATTTATTTTTTTTTTTTAAATTAAACTTATAAATATATCCAAAATTATAGAATAAATATTATAAAAAAAAAAAAATTCTTTTTTTCAAATTCATTTTCATCAAATTTTAAATAATTTTTTTTTTTTTGATTTTTCTATTAAATTAATATTTTTTTGCTGAAATTTTTGCTAATTATCTAAACATTTTTTTATTATTACAGTTAAATATGATTGTTGATTTATTGGGTACACCAACAGAAGAAGAAATGAAAACAGCATGTGATGGTGCTCGAAAGCATATCTTATCGTCACCATTTCGACAACCAAATCCACAAAAAATTATTCAACTAACACAGGGAAATGATGATGCAGCTGATTTACTTACGAGATTGGTGACATTTGATCCAGTTCGTCTTTCATTCTAATTAATTAATTAATTAATTAATTTTTTTACGTTAATTTCTTTTCTTTCTTTTTGAATTATGAAATTTAAAAGATTTTCAAATTAAGCTAATAAATTTTAGCAGAAAAAAAAAAAAAAAAAAACCTTTAATTTGTTTTTTTTTTTTTTGCAGGAAAAACGTGTCACAGTAGATGCAGCATTAAGTCATCGATATTTAGATGAAGGTCGTATGCGTTTTCATTCATGTATGTGTTCATGTTGCTATACTACACCATCAAATGTACGAATCTTCTCACAAATTTTAGATCCGGTGGTAAGTTAAATTATTTAAAATTTGAAAAAAAAATTTTACATTAATTAAATTAATTAAGAGAAAGAATGTAAATGTTTTTTTTTTTTTTTAATAAAATTTAGTTCTTTATTAAAATTATTCATTTATAAAATTATCATTTTCTTTTTTTTCCTTTAAATTTTCTAGCATGAACATCCATTTGATCCAAGATGGGAAAAAGAGCTGTCACATATGTCAATGTTTGATCTAAGAGATCGAATGTATCGATTTGTCACCGAACGATCACCACCATTTGGTGTAGCACTTACAATTAATCCAAATTCTGCCTCATATAAAACTTTTACTAGGTAATGAAATGTTTTTTTTTTTTTTTTTTTTACTTTTATATTTTTGAAGAGCAAAAGAATTCATCGAGAAAAGAGAAAAGTAAAACATTTTTCTCTTTTGAATAATTCTAAGAACTTTTTATAAAATGAGAAATTATATATTTTTTATGTTACAAACAAATATTTTTTGATATTTTAGATAAGATATTGAAGTAAAAATTTTTTCATTTTAAAATTTTTATAAATAATAACAATTATTATTTATGCAATTTAAGTTTAATACAAATTGGTTTTATGATATATTAACGATGAAAAAAAATTTTTTTTTTAAATTGGACAAAACATTTTTCATTGAATCATTTGAATAATTGAAACTTAATGAAAATTAATTTTTACAGCTCATCGGTGGCACAACCATCCGAATTTCCACCTTCACCAAATGCATGGGATCAATAATAGCAATTTTTTTTAAAACAAAAAAAAAAAAAAAAAAAATGAAATCGTATATTGATTTGATTGAAAAATATTGATCGATTGATAAAATATCAGAAATTTGGATCGATTGATTATATAATTTTGCAATAGTTTTTATTTTCTTTTGTTTTTTTTTTTAATTTTTTGAATTATATTGAAATTTTAACAAAATTATCCCATTGATAAATTTACTTCCATAAAAAAATCTGCCTCACTTTCAACAAGTTATTTCTTTTCTTTCTTTTTTCATTTTTTTTCTTTTGAATTGTTTCGTTTGCTTATTATTAGTGCTAATTGTATATTAAAGTATTAAATTTCTTTTTTTTTTCTTATAATGAAAAATTATAGTGATATTGTCATTATTATTATTATTATTGTTGTCGTATATTTACAGAGTTATCTTATCAATTTAAAAAATTTGATCAGAGAAGAAAGAAAGTTATAGAAATTGAAATTTAAAAAATTTCTTAAACATTTTTATTTACTATTTAAAAGTAACGATGAGAACCTGATTTCGATAGTAAATTCATTGACTGTATATTTTGTGCTCAAAAGAAAAAACGATAAAATAAAATAATTTTTTTTTTTTGAGATTTACCTTTAAATCATAAATGTTTACACAAGAATGAATTTTGAGGCCATTATTAAACAAAAATATGTGGAATAAATTTAACCCAAAAGATTGACAAAAGTGAAAGTGAAATTTTTATTTCATAAAAGAAATAAAATAACGAAAAAAATTAATGAAGAATTGAAATATATTTGAAATTAATTTTTGTTTTAAAAAGATGTCATTATCAGGTTCTAGTTTCACTTCACTTTTCTTCTCCATCTTGAAAAAAGACAAATGAAAAAATGAATTTAATAATTTTACCTATTTGATAACTTTCTTATTTTTGAACAATTAATAATTATCACATTGATATTCTAAAATAATGCATCAAAATTTGAAAAGATACTCTGTATAGCTTTTTTTTTTTTTTATATATTCTGGTATGAAAATATTTTAATTAATATTTCTTGTTTGATGATTATCTTCTCTTTCATTACTGTTTTCTTTCTTTTTTTTTCCTTTCTAGAAAAATTCTTTTTTTCATTCCTTTATTACAATTTTGGTGATATTAAATGCTTTATATACATATTCTTTTTTTCTTTTTTACTTAAAAAAGAAACTAAATTTTGTTGATTAAAAAATTTTACAAAGATTTAAAGAATAAAAAAAGTTTTTTTTTTTTAAATATTTGAATGAAATCATATAAAATAGGCAGTAATTTCTTCTTTTTTTTTGTCTTTCATTAGTTCCTTTTCCCTTTTCCTTCATTTTTTTTTTCTATTTTAATTTTAAAAACTGCCAAAATTTTCAAAACTTCCAGTTGTATTTGTATATGAATGCTATAAATGTTGTTGCATTGCTTCAAATTTACCTCTTTCTCATATTGTTTGAATATTGAATACAAAATGAATAATAATAATATCTTTTATAATTATATCATCCATTACTCGATGATAATGACCTTTGACATTTGACATTTATTAAAATTTAACAATTGAAATGTTCCATATTTGTGCCGACTTATATATTTGTCATCTTTATCACTGCCATTATATCAACTATCTTTTATTTTTATTTTTTTTTTAAAAAATTTTTTGCTAGCTTACAAATTTATTATAATAAATCTTTTATATGCTCTAAGAGGAAAAAAAAAGTGAATAAAATGAAAATAAAAAATAAATGATTGGCCAATAATTTTTATTTTTACTGCTGGGCTTTCAAATTTGTCGAGAAATGCCAACCAGACTTTCCTATAGTCAATTATTTCTTCCTCAAAATCAATTCAAAAATTTTCCCACTTATTTTTTAACAATCAAAAAAAAAAAATTTTTTTTTTCTTAATTGATATCTTAACAAATTATGCCTTCTGTGTTTTTTTTTTCTTTTTAATTGTTATCTTTCTTCTCTTTCTTTATGATTTTACCTTTATTTTTTTTTTCTTCAAATATTAGAATTTAACTATAAAATTGTTTTCAGCATGATTTTTTTTTTTTTCATCATTCTTTATATAATATAACAAATTTCCATATCTTTTCGAAATTTTTAAAGTATCAAATGAATTACTTTAATAGTTAATCTTGAGAATAATTAATACTATTATTGTGATTATTATGATTATCTATCTATCTATCTTTCCTATTTCTCGTATCTCATCAAATTTTTTTTGCTTATCTAAAATGCTAAGCAGAACAATTCTTTAACTCTTATACGCGATATTTAGGTAATAAAGCTTTACGTCTTTGTGGGCGCCTATACATACACGAAATGGTGTATAGTACGAGTAAAATTGAGTAAAATTTAATCACTTTTTTATCTGATTACTTTACTCTTTCAAATCTCATCTTTCTTCCTTTTTTTTTTTGTCTAATTAATTTGTATATTTGAAATATTATTGTAACTCTAACATGAAATATCATTCTATCTTTTCAAAAACTCTGTAATTAAATGAAGAAATCAACAAATATTTGCTTCCAAATTCTTTTGTCGATTTTTTCTTTTTCTTTTTTTTTGTTCATATATTTTTGATTGTATCAAAAATTGAAATTTATTGCTGAATTCTTTATTGAAATAAATAAATATTAAATTTAGTTGTATTTTTTTACTTGCAATTTTCTCATTTACACTTTACATCAAAAGTTTCATATTAACAGTAATGCTTATTTTACTGAAATTCAAAAAAAAAAAAAAAAATAAATAAAGTGGATAAGCTAATATTTAAAAAGGTTTATCTTTAAAAAATAAAGAAGGAATGGAAGTGTCACAAATATTTTGGTTTATTTTATATATTATGCATATTTCATCAATTCTTCCTCCTACAGCTAAGGAATGCAAATTCATTCAACTTTTCGTCTCAAAAACTTATTCCGGAATTTTCCGTAAATATCACTGAGAGTATTATTCGCTTAACCTAATGATAACAAAATGATAGTCTAGTAAAAATTCTTTCGGTGAATGGTTTCTTCATTCATATCTTTCCTTTTTCTCTCTCTCCCTCTCTCTCTCTCTCTCTCTCGGAACTGAACCATTCTTCTCTCTCTTTTTTTCATGCAAGTATCATCCGATATCACTTATTTTTGTTCATTACAAATTTGCACTTTTTTCTCATTCCCTTTCAAAATTTTCTCCTCCCTCCCTCTCCCTCTCTCTTTCTCTCCCTCTCTCTCTCTCTCTCTCTCCATTTCTTCCATTCTACTATTTTATCTTAGTTAAATGAGAAAACATTTACTCTATTTGTTTTTTTTTTTTCAAATTTTGTTTTATTAACAAAAACAAATTAAATATTTTACTGTTCGCTACAAACTATTAAGTATAAACTTTGAAATCAATAAAAAGTAAATTTCCTGGATGTTCCGAGGTGAATTTCCTGGATATTCCGAGAGATTCCTCAGTGAATTTCACTAACTTATCAATGAAATACACAATAATTACTCTCTCTCTCTCTGCTATATTTAATAATAAAAAGAAATTATTTTATGATGAATGTAACCTTTGATTTAAATAATTTAAAATTTTTGAAGCGAAAAAAAAAAAATAAAACTTAAACACATCGATATTACATAGTTCAAAGGTTAATTAAAAGGAAATTTAATCGTTGATGCTATGACAGACACATTTATTATAGTTAAAACTGGATGAAGTCATTTTATTGGAATTTCAAAAAGTTTCTTAAATTATGCAAATTTATTGAAATGATGAAAATGTTACTGAATTTATTTTTGTTTGCAATTAATTTACAAATTGCAAAAAAATTTTGTTTATTAATTAATTATTAAAGTTAATTAAATAATTATTGTTAATTGTAATTAAAATATGCAAATTTTACGGTTTATTTGTAATGAATTAAAAAAAAAAAAAAAAAAAATCTTATCAGTTTACAAAAATAAAATATTCGATTGATTTCTCTTTCACTCATTGATTTACAAAAATACATTTTTCTTTTTTTATTGCATTTGAAATATATTTTTTTTCAATATATCAATAAAATTATCAATCGATGATAATTAATTAATGTTAATTATTATTAATTAATAAATATTAAATGTTAAAAAAACTAAATTAATTTTTTTCTTTTTTTTTTTTGTTTCAAAATGGAAAAAAGAATGGAAACAAAAAAATATTGATGAAATCCTGAAAAATTCTCTTATCAAATTGCAAGGAAATATTATCCTTTTTTAAAGATAAAATTTCATTTCGATTTCTTATCAAAAAATTTTTCATTTTTATTTTAATTCTATTTTGTAAAAAATTTATTTATATAAGTTACTATAGTAACCATTTCAATCGTCATTCGTTGTCATAGAAAGTTCATCCATAATCTTTTATATTTGATAATATTTTAAATTAATTTCCTCTCTCTCTCCCTCCCTCTTTCTCTCTCTCTCCCTCTCTCTCTCTTTCATCTCATCAACGGTTAATTTTGAGATTCGTTTTTCTATCAATTCATTTTATTAATACTTTTAAAATTCGTTATAAATTTTTTTTTTTTTTTTACATTAAATCTTATTTATTCGCTTTGTTAAAAAAAAGAAATAACGTTTATTAATTTTAATCGATTTTATTTTTCAATTTTAAATTATTTTCCAATATATTATTAAATTTAATTTCTTAATTATTGCCTTATGTATTAGAATTAACTTTTTTTTTAAAAAAAAACTAATTTTAAGAAACGATAAAATATTTAAAACTATAAAAATTATACTTCTTGAAGATTTAAAAAAAAAAAAAAAATTAGAAAGGTTATTTAAATTTTATTTTTAGTATGTAAATTCATGGAATTGATTTAAAAGTTTTTAATAACAAAAATTGATTTGATTTTTTGTTTAGAAATTTTTTCTTTTACTTAATTCTGAATTAATTTTAATAATAATTATAATACAATATATGATTTATGATATAAATTGCATCACCAAACAATAAAAAAATTTGGGAT